TCCATTCATGTTGATTCTGCTCAGTTTCTACCTTAGTCAGTTAAATAACCTGCTGCTGTCATTCTGCACATCTCTGATGTTGCTGCTATTTTTAAATATCCATTACTGTAAACATGTCTACACCCGATCGCCGTTGACCCTTTTTAAAGTGTTCATAGCTAATAATGAAAATTCAATGCATGGAAATTCCACCTGTAAAATGTTAACCAATATAAACATGTTAGACATCGTTGGAAAGCTTAGATTCTCCACAATTCAACCACCAAGTTCATTTTATGGACACCAAAGCCCAATTAACACAGAAATAGCAGCATGTCAGAATGTAAACAAACAAATCAGCCACAGCTACGGCCGTTTGAAGGCGTCCAGAAGCTGTAATATAAATCCAATCTTCAATTCTTTATACTCCATTCCTCCCTAAGGGTCCACAGATTAAAAGTAATCCAGAATATTCGTAATAAAAATATTTCATGATGAGAAAATTGCCCATAATGTCCGGTTATTGACATCAGAAAAGTTAGCTCATCATAGCTAATGCTTAGCATCATGCTAATATTTACTTCCTAATATTTTTTCCTCAGTTGTTAGCCTACGATGTTCGGTGTGGTTCTTTACTTCGTCTCCTTACCTACAAGACAAAAGCATCTTTTTATGACGCGATTTACGCCAGATACAACAGTCGATGAAAACGCACTTCTGGTCACTTCCTGTCAGCCAGTGACACGCGCTATTACGCCTGATAGAGTCCTGCTGTTATTGGTTAAGACCATGTAGGCTGTTTGGCTTTGTAGCCAATGAAATGAGGTTTCAGACGAGCCTGCAAACGGCAGGGTTATATAAGGCAGAGCCGTTTCACAGGCAGCGTTGCATAGGAGTGAAACACACAGCTGAGAGGGGATCAATGCCAGCAGCTCCAAGCTGAATAATAACAACGGTCCTGTTTTATTTTAAGTTTGGATGCTGATTTTTGTTTTATTACAATGCCTAAGGCTGAAAATACAACAAAATACAGCTCAGAAAAGACACTGGGGCTTATTTTACAGGTGCTGGTCATAAAATTAGAATATCATGAAAAAGTAGATTGATTTCAGTAATTCCATTTAAAAAGTGAAACTTGTATATTATATTCATACATTACATACAAACTCATATATTTCAGATGTTTATTTTGTTTAATTTTGATGATTACAAATGACAACAAATGAAAATCTCAAATTCATCATATCAGAAAACTAGAATATTACTGAAGACCAATAAAAACAAAGGATTTATAGAAATGTTGGCCAACTGAAAAGTATGAACATGAAAAGTATGAGCATGTACAGCACTCAGTATTTAGTTGGGCCTCCTTTGGCCTGTATTACTGCAGCAATGCGGCGTGGCATGGAGTCGATCAGTCTGTGGCACTGCTCAGGTGTTATGATAGCCCAGGTTGCTCTAATAGTGGCTTTTAGCTCTTCTGAATTGTTGGGTCTGGTGTATTGCATCTTCTTCTTCACAATACCCCATAGATTTTCTATGGGGTTAAGGTCAGGAGAGTTTGCTGGCCAATTAAGAACAGGGATACCATGGTCCTTCAACCAGGTACTGGTAGCTTTGGCACTGTGTGCAGGTGCCAAGTCCTGTTGGAAAATGAAATCTGCATCTCCAAAAAGTTTGTCAGCTGCAGGAAGCATGAAGTGCTCTAAAACTTCCTGGTATGTGGCTGCGTTGACCCTGGACCTCAGAAAACACAATGGACCAACACCAGCAGATGAAATGGCATCCCAAACCATCACTGACTGTGGAAACTTTACACTGGACTTCAAGCAACGTGGATGAAGTGCCTCTGTTCTTTTCCTCCAGACTCTGGGACCTTGATTTCCAAAGGAAATGCAAAATTTACTTTCATCAGAGAACATGACTTTGGACCACTCACCAGCAGTCCAGTCCTGTTTCTCTTTAGCCCAGGCAAGACGCTTCTGACGCTGTCTGTGGTTCAAGAGTGGCTTGACACAAGGAATGCGACAGCAGAAACCCATGTCTTTCATACGTCTGTGTGTGGTGGTTCTTGAAGCACTCACTCCAGCTGCAGTCCACTCTTTGTGAATCTCCCCCACATTTTTGAATGGGTTTTGTTTCACAATCCTCTCCAGGGTGCGGTTATCTCTCTTGCTTGTACACTTTTTTCGACCACATCTTTTCCTTCCCTTCGCCTCTCTATTAATGTGCTTGGACACTGAGCTCTGTGAACAGCCAGCCTCTTTAGCGATGACCTTTTGTGTCTTGCCCTCCTTGTGCAAGGTGTCGATGGTCGTCTTTTGGACAACTGTCAAGTCAGCAGTCTTCCCCATGATTGTGTAGCCTATAGAACTAGACTGAAAGACCATTTAAAGGCTTTTGCAGGTGGTTTGAGTTAATTAGCTGATTAGAGTGTGGCACCAGGGGCCATCAATTTTGAACCTTTTCACAATATTCTAATTTTCTGATATGATGAATTTGAGATTTTCATTTGTTGTCATTTGTAATCATCAAAATTAAACAAAATAAACATCTGAAATATATGAGTTTGTATGTAATGTATGAATATAATATACAAGTTTCACTTTTTAAATGGAATTACTGAAATCAATCTACTTTTTCATGATATTCTAATTTTATGACCAGCACCTGTAGCTTGAAAAGCAGCAGTTTCCCTTTTTTCTATAGATTTTTATGTTATTTTATGTTTGGAAATATTACATTTTTAATAAACGGATTCTGAAAAAAAGTGGAAAATATTTGCTTCATAAATGTTTTGATGCCATGAAAATGCTTCAGTGTTATTCTGTGGGTCAAAGGTTCAACACCTCACAGCTCTGGAACTGTTGGAGCTACAGGTCTGAAAGTTTCTGCATTTGTGGCTGACATGATGTAGAACAAATATAAAACAACAAGCCTTTTCTCGAGCATGTCTATATTACTGCTGTTTGAAAAAGACCGATCATTTTCAAACATAAAAAAACAACTTTGAGTCATGTCTGAACTGATGCAGCTTGGTCTGTGTTTTACTCGCCCAATTTTCATTCATATATTCAGAAACTAGAAGGTGTTTGCTTTCAAATGATGGATTGCACATGAAATTTGGGCAGACAGTTATTTGCTTTTTTATTTGGTTATGCAGAATAGGTGAAAATGAGGTGAATGTTAACCTCTTACACCCTCAGGGTGTATAAATAAATTTCTGCCTGACAAAAACACACAAAAGTAAATAACTTATAGCCTCAAAGCTATTAGATTTAAGAAGAAACTTTTGGTACCTCTGTAAAGGTAAGATGTCATGAATGGTTTTCTGGTGTCAGCACCATTGTAGCTTTGACCCTGCCTGAAATATTAGGGACAAAATACAAAATATTTTGCATTTTTTGAACCTCGCCAAAATTTTCTTTGAAATAAACATTGCAAAACACTACCAAAATATTATTTATAGCACAAAAAAGTAGTACAGACTTTTAAATCTAAATGTTGTGTAAAAATATACCAAATTTGGACTCAATCAGATGAATCATATTTATTTTAGAATGGTATTAGTGAGAGATTTCTTAGGCGGAGAGGCCATTTTGGCACATTTATCCAGAAATGTCACCAAACTGTGCCAAATGTGTTTTTTACATCAATACTGGGGGTTTGTTAAAATTACGAGGTCATGTAGCAGCTGGACCCACCGGTGGGTCCGTAGGGTTCAAGGGGTTAAACAAGATCTAGGACCTGTGATGCTGTGGGCCAAACATATTTTGCTATTAGCAGAGGGGTCATAAAGGCTATCATGACTGCAGGGTAACAGGATACTGTCAAAATTAAATCTGAACATTTTTATTTGCTAAAGTTTTTTCCAGTGAGAGATTTTGTTCTGACAATGTAAGATTTATTTATTTGTATTTGCTTTTTATCAATGAATGCTTCTCCCTGTACTTGCAGAGCCGGATTACAGAGACAATCCGTGGCCAGTTATGTGCAAATCACATCCTTGAGGTTTCAATATTTAACCAAGGTAGAGGCAACGCAAAGCAAAAAGAAAATCACACCCAGCTTTTTGCCCGCTGTGAAAACACCATATGGATATGGCCGCTTATTGCTGCAGTTAGAGGCGCTTCCACTGTAATAAAAGCTGCTCAAATCCTGCAGACTTCCTTTACGTTGCCTTTTATGGGCCCCCACTAATGTCATTTGTTATATGGGTATGTGAATGATTGCTTTGCCTGAGAATATTTGTTTTTTGCCAGATGGCGCATGCTGTGAAACGTTCCTGTGCTCAGATATGAGAGGTATCAGCTCTGACCTGTCACTGCAGATTGGGGGATTTATTATTTAACGCACAAAAAAGTAGTACAGACTTTTAAATCTAAATGTTGTGTAAAAATATACCAAATTTGGACTCAATCAGATGAATCATATTTATTTTAGAATGGTATTAGTGAGAAATTTCTTAGGCGGAGAGGCCATTTTGGCACATTTATCCATAAATGTCACCAAACTGTGCCAAATATGTTTTTTACATCAATACTGGGGGTTTGTTAAAATTACGAGGTCACGTAGCAGCTGGACCCACCGGTGGGTCCGTAGGGTTCTAGGGGTTAAGAGGTTGTAAAGATCATTTACTCTCCAGACACAGAGCATTTATATTGTAAAAACACTGTACAGTCCTTATTTATTCATTTTCTTAACTTTGTCGCTTATTCTGTTATTTTTATACACTTTCTAAGGTCCACATTTAGTGACCACTTCTTGCTGCTGTAATTTCCCCATTGTGGAGCAATAAATGGATTTACTGTTCTATTCTTTATTCTTTTCTACATATGAATTAAATGAGAATAATTTCATTTTTTAGAACATTTAAGCAACCTAATTAAACTTGAACCTTAGACGTGTCGGCTTACCTGTTTCCTCGATGGACCCAGAAAAGTGCTAACTAGACACGTCTGAACCAAACTTAAACTGTAGCTCATTTTTAAATTTCACATTGCAATCAATTCTATGTTTTTATTATTATGAACATGCAGTGCTTTCCAAGAACTTGATCAGGATTTATTTAAGCCCACTAAAGAGGCAGAGGAGGATCACTTCCTGTGCATATATACAAATAAAAAACATTGACGTAAAAAAAAAAAAACTTATTTACAAAATATAAAAAAATAAGATTCCTGGATTCATTGTCCTTTTTATGGTTTCTACCACGGTCTCCACACAGAGTCTGAAGTGACGGCGGGTGCAGCGGGCGACAGCGGATGGCTGTTTTGGACACTCAGAGGTGTGAGAGCAGCGTTGGGAATAAGAAAAGCAAACTGTCCGTCTGGCGACGCCACGACCTGGAAGCCTCCGTACAGCTTCGGTCCTTCAGGGCAAACCGAGACACCTTTGAGCGGAAGCTGAAGGCCTGGGTGCGCTGCGACCGGCACGCCGCCGGTCTGTCCCAGCTCACCGAGGCCAGGGGTGCTTAGGTTCAAGGAATGGATCTGAGCCACACAGGCAGCCAGGTGGCTAAGGAGGCGGGTTCGGACCTCTGCAGTGACCCCTTCGCACGTGGACAGGAAACGGGTGACCTCCCCGATGCACTCGCTGAATCCGGCTCTGTATTTCCCCAGGTTGGATGGGTCTGTGTTTAATGCAGCTACAGGAGAAGAAAGACGTTAGAAAATGGACAAATGGAGAGACGGACAAGCAAGCAAATACATACGGCACACCTGAATAAAAAATAAAAAATGTGCCAATCATCAAATCACTTAGAAAAGCTCTCTCTAATTAGACCCCGGCCAACTTTCCAAGCAGCTGAATAAAGAAAAGTGAATTTCACAAACTATCTAACACACAATCTGATTTTAATCAATAAAAAAACAGGGTTGCACTGATTTCTAAGCCGACAGATTTAGAGATTATTGAGGGAATTTTGTTCTGTAAACAAAACTTTTCAGGAAATTCTATTCAGTTTATTTCTATAGCGCCAATTCACATCATGTCATCATGCCCAGTGGGCCTCAGCAGATGGCCGCTCACACTGAGCCTGGTTCTGCTGGAGGTTTCTTCCTGTTCAAAGGGAGTTTTTCCTCTCCACTGTCGCTACAAGCATGCTTAGTGTGAGGGATTGCTGAAGAGTCAATGAGTCGATGCAATCAGCTGGTTTTCCTTAGATAGAAAACTTTGAATCAATCTGACTGGATGATCTGGTGAACTGGAAAGTGACCTGAGATGACATGATGTGAATTGGGGCTATAGAAATAAACTGAATAGAATTTAATCTGATCTAAACTTTGTAAAGGTCTGAAAATCGGCCACTATCAGCACTCTAATCTTTTCATCGAAATTTAGTGAATTTAAAACATGTTTCTATTTAACTGGTTTTGTTTCTTTCTTTTTTTTTCTTTTTCAATTCTGATCGGACTTTTATTAGGAAAATATCAGTTAGAATCAGAATAAGTAAATTAGGTGTTTTTGAATTATCATTATCGGTGATCGTCCAGAAAAGGAAATCAGTGCACAACTAAAAAAGAGTTTAAAGTCTTTAAAGTATTTTCGTTTTGTTTTAAATACATTTTTTTTAACTATTTAACTGAATTTAGCATCAATCCATTAAAAATAAAGAATATTAAAGGTCATTTATTCCAGGCGGTTTGGCGATCTGGTTTTTACGGTTATTGTGATGTGATCTGTGAGGTCGCCTTGGGGCCAGAATTAACTAATAAACACATTAATGTGACTAAAACAAATACATTCACCTTGAAATTGTATTTATATATAATACATGATATGGATATCCACTATAGCACTGAAGTGAGAAATACACAATGAAAAACATAAATACATTTAAGATACATTTACTTTAATACCAGTATATTTTTTTATGTCAGCAAACCATCTGCAACTGATTTTAATCTTTATACAGTAGGCGAAACTATTTTAACCCATCTCAGGAATCATAGAACATTTTTAAATATGAGGGTTTTTTTCTGCTGTTTATTTCCCGGTTTTGAATATATTAATAATAAAACACAAAATGACAAATTCTGCCTGTTTTAATTTACAATTTTACTGCTTCTAAAACAAAATAGCCTACGATGGAGTTTTAGGGCAAGGCTAGAGATTTTTTTTTCTTTAATTTCAAGAATGATTCTTCAATATGAGAATAAAGTTGCAACATTACAAGAATAAAGTTGTAAAATTACGAGAATAAAGTCTTAAAATTACGAGAATAAAGTCGTAATATGACGAGAATAAAGTCATAAAATTACGAGAATAAAGTCGTAACATTACGAGAATAAAGTCGTAACATTACGAGAATAAAGTCAAAAAATTATGAGAATAAAGTTGTAATATTATGACAATAAAGTAGTAACATTACGAGAATAAAGTCGTAACATTACGAGAATAAAGTCGTAATATTACGAGAATAAAGTCGTAACATTACGAGAATAAAGTCATAATATTACGAGAATAAAGTCGTAACATTACGAGAATAAAGTCGTAATATTGCGAGAATAATATCGTAATATTACGAGAATAAAGTCGTAACATTACGAGAATAAAGTCGTAATATTGCGAGAATAAAGTCATAAAATTACGAGAATAAAGTCAAAAAATTATGAGAATAAAGTTGTAATATTATGACAATAAAGTAGTAACATTACGAGAATAAAGTCGTAACATTACGAGAATAAAGTCGTAATATTACGAGAATAAAGTCGTAACATTACGAGAATAAAGTCATAATATTACGAGAATAAAGTCGTAACATTACGAGAATAAAGTCGTAATATTGCGAGAATAATATCGTAATATTACGAGAATAAAGTCGTAACATTACGAGAATAAAGTCGTAATATTGCGAGAATAAAGTCGTAATATTACGAGAATAAAGTTGTAACATTATGAGAATAAAGTTGTAATATTACGAGAATTAAGTCGTAACAATACGACAATAAAGTCGTAATATTACTAGAATAAACTCATAACATTATGAGACACTTCTAAAAAAAAATAAAAAATAAATAATGTTACAGTTTTTGCCATTTACTTAATCATATTTAGTTACTTTAACACAATTGTTTCATGTTAGCAGAGTAGGACATAAAACAATTATGTTAAAGTAAGTAAATATGATTGAGTAAATGCTAAAAGCGGTTGCATTATTTTTTTCAGTGTATTATAAGGGGATTTTCCAACCAGAAATTTGAGTCATACAAATTGAATCGAGATAAATGATGTGAACATTTCAGCTCTTTCAGGTTGAGTTATATTAAATATAGAACTATATTAGATCATGAACTGTTGTCCTGGTTTTTTTGGGGTTTTTTTTTTTTTGTTAACTTCTTTCTGGCCTCGTGAAAAAAAAAAGAAAAAAACGTTCCCTCTGTGTCACTTAAATGAATTTGTTCTAAACTTGCCGATGGATGCATCATCAGCACCAACGATCTAAAACTGGAAGGTAGAGCTGCAACAATTAAATGGATTAATCGATTAATGAAAAAATCGGTAATTAATTTAGTAATCGATTAATCATTATCTGGAGAATAGAGACTGTAAAAAAATGCCTTTAGCTGACAGAGCGACTCACTAATTATTCCAAAGTTGTAAAAATATATAAACTAACATTTTGCATTTAAGATAATAAATACTTTTCTGTCAGTCGGCTCTATCCAGAACTCCTCAAGGGGAAAAATCTTCTTTAAAGAATCTTCAGCTATGAGCTGATTAACCAGTTTCTGTCGATGAATCGATTTGTAAAATAATATTTCGTTGCAGCCGTGCTGGGAGGCTGGGCTTCCATACCTGTGGTCTGAAGCCGCTGCAGGTTCCTCAGGTGCTTCACAGTCATCTCCAGGATGTCCGCCTTCTCCAGCTTGGAGTGTCTGGAGCTCTTTAGAAAAAAAACAATCAATAGGTAAACATTAAATAAATGGCACAGTGGTGTTTTTAAAGTTCCTCCTCCTTTTTGGTTAAAAGTCATCTTCTGACAGAAACAGGGAGGTGCACTGCAAAAAATTTAAATCTAAATAAGTCATTTTCTTTTAAAATAACTCTTTTTTTTATTGAACTGAGGAGGTTAGTGGGAGACTTTGCCAAGCACTGCAAAAACTATCTAAAAATGAATAACAATTTCTTAAATTAAGTGTATTTAACCGTAATTTGAGCAGGTAAATAGGATCGTTTGCCAATAGATTTAGTATTTTTACTCTTAAAATAAGATAACTAGATAACAAGCACTTGTAAAAAGACAATATAATTGTTTTTTTCTTATTTTAAATTGTCTTGTTCCATTAGCAAAATGTCTCACTTACCTCCTGAATTCAAGAAAAAATGCACTTATTTTAAGAAAAAAATTACTTATTGAGATTTAAATTGTTTTTGCAGTGAGAGAATTTACGTTTAAAATAAGAAAAAAAACAATTGCATTTTCTTTTTTCTAGTGCATATTATCTAATTATCTTATTTAGGAGTAAATAAATCTCTTTCACTGGCAAATCATCTTAAATTAAGGATAAATAAACTTATTTCTAGATCGTTTTTGCAGTGTGCTGATGGCAGCAATCAGAGCTATAAGTAGAAGGAAGCAGACAGAAGAAAAGTGGTCCCTGAGTCCTCCAGCAGTCTAAGCCTATAGCAGCATAACTCCTTACGTCTTTCCTGAGGGCCTCCAGGATGAGGGTCTTCAGCTGACCCAGGCTCTCATTGATCCGGGCGCGTCGCCGCTTCTCCATAATTGGTTTAGAGGACTTGCAGAGGAAATAAACCGCAGTTAGTTTTTGCTTTCAGACTTCCTGTTAAGCCGCAGGCGCTCAGGGATCCTACCTTTCTGCTCTCTGACGGGATGCGGGGTTTCCCCGGTGTGACGTCCCCTCTGGCCGGGATCGCAGCCACAGCGGATGGGGAGGATCTTTCTAACGTTCCTGCTGGCATGGTCAGGTCAGCAGAACAACCGAAACCAAACAGTGAAAGATAAAGAATGAAAACAGTCCTTCCGTCTCCTGCAGCCCTCAGTCCGCTCTGCCTCAGACTCACAGCGCTGGACTCCCGGCCTCCGCCTTTATAGCGCAGCATGATGCGCACGCGAGCGGCTCGTGTGACATCTCGGGGTTCCCTCTTCCTGTCCAATAAGCGCGCGGGATGCGGCGCCTGGGAGCTCGCGAGCTCGTGCTCCGAAAGATTTACGTCAAACTGGTTCATCTGCGAGGATCCCGATTAAAACGAGGTTCACTAAATATTGATTTTCGATATATTTTATTCTGATGCTGCACTGCAAAAATGATCTAGAAATAAGTAAAAATGTCTTAAATTAAGTGTATTCACCGTTAATTTGAGTAGGTAAATGAGATAGTTTGCCAATGGAATGAGTATTTTTACTCTTAAAATAAGATAATTAGATAATATGCACTTGAAATAAGTCAATGCAATTGTGTTTTCTTATTTTAAGTGTAAATTGTCTTGTTCCATTGGCAAAATGTCTCTTTTACCTCCTCAATTGAAGAACAAATGCACTTATTTTAAGAAAAAATGACTTTTCTAGATTTAGATTTTTTGCAGTGTGGTTGTTCACTGCAAAAACAATCTAGAAATAAGTAAAAATGTCTTCATTTAAGTGTGTTTACACTTAATTTGAGCAGGTAAATTAGATGATTTACCAATGGAAAGAGTATTTTTACTCTTAACATTAGATAATTAGATAAAATGCACTTGAAATAAGACAATACAATTGCGTTATATTATTTTAAATTTAAATCGTCTTGTTCCATTGGAAAAATGTCTCTTTTACCTCCTTAATCCAAGAAAAAATGCACTTATTTTAAGAAAAAATGACTTTTTCCAATGTGCCATAAAAATAAGACATTTTCTCAACATTATCTGATTATTTCAAATATTATTAAGCAATTAAAGCAAATAAACCAGAAAATATTGTCCCAAAAATTCTTAAGATTTCAAATTTTCCCTTTGATATTTGTTTGTGGTTCAAATTTCTGTTTGTGAAATTACACTGCAAAAAATCTAAATAAGTCATTTTTTCTTCAATGGAGGAGGTAAGTGAGACACTTTGCCAATGCAATAAGACAATTTACATTTAAAATAAGAAAAGAAATGATTGCATGGTTTAATTGTCTTATATTTCAAGGGCAAATTATCTAATTATCTTATGTAAGAGTAAAAAAACTCATTTCATTGGCTGACTACCTTATGTACCTGCTCAATTAAGGGTAAATACCCTTAATTTCTAAATTTTGTTATTTCTAGATCGTTTTTGCAGTGTGCATTTAAATTATACTGCAAATAAACTTCTCTTAATCCCTATTGCCTCAGCATATTTGAAGTATCAGTGTGATAATAAGTAAAATAATAAAAGTACAAGTAAGCCTCAGTATATAAGTATTATTGTACCAGTATGTTTTTCAGTATAAGCCCAGTAGGTTCACCACCTAAAGGATACACTGCAAAAACAATCTAGAAATAAGTAAAAATTTCTTAAATTAAGTGTATTTCCCCTGAATTTGAGCAGGTAAATAAGATGATTTGCCAAAAGAATAAGTAGTTTTGCTCTTAAAACATGATAATTAGATAATATGCACTTGAAATAAGACAATGTAATTGTTTTTTCTTATTTTAAATGTAAATTGTCTTGTTCCATTGGCAAAGTGTCTCACTTTCCACCTAAATTGAAGAAAAAATGCACTTATATTAGGAAAAGATTACTTGTTTAGATTTCAATTTTTTGCAGTATATAAAGTGTAGTTTATAAAAAGTAAACTTAAGGTAAGCTGTCTTATTTTAAGTGCAAAATTAAGCATATTTCTACTTCTGGTATCTTTATAAAAAAAACTTCCAGTGGTTCAATGAACAGAGAGAAACACAAATTAACCTCCTCCTAATAAACGCCTTAGATTATATAAAACCAGTTTAACCTTTATTTAAATCTGGGGAAATAAAATTCAGTCACTTTTGGATCCACTTAGGTTGACTTAGAAAGAAAAAAAAAACATGTTTATATCTGATCAAACATAACAGAAAATAATCAAACTTTTATTTTAACACGCAGAGTTTTTTGACTTTAGGAGGCAAACTAATATAAATCAAACCTGCAGGCTGACTGCTGTGGTTCAAACAATCCTTTATTGTGCAGATAGTGATAAAGACATGTGGGGTTTGCCGTACATCCCGATCCGTATCAGTGTGGGAACATGGAGATGGGAGGAACCACTGAGCATGAAAGGCCTTAGAGAGACTCCAGCAGGGGGGAGCGGATTATTCCTGAGATATATTTCCTTCCCTGGTCTAATATGTGATCAATTTAGATAAAAATGACGCAATAATGTCACAATATTCTGAAGTTTAGTTTGTTCTAAGAAAAATAAAAGATTTAAAATAAAAGAACGCTTTCTTCTGCCACCTGACCAAAAAAAAAAGAAAGATAAAGGAAGGTTAGATTAGATCGCTGCTTCCCATCAATATGTGCAACGAATCAGATGGGTAAATATCTTAAATTTTCAATTTAATCTTTAGCTGGGTTTTTTTTCTATTTAGCAAATACAAAACATTTTTTATCTCAAGCAAAAGGGATTTACCATCAGGCAATAGTAGGAAGTTGCCCATAAAATTCTGTTTCCATGTATGGTTAATGCAACTATTCCTTATTTCTGCACATTAATTATGTTTTTGATAAAAATCCTTTGGCTAAAATGCCATCAGAACGCTGATAATATTCAGTGTGTCTCAGCCCCGCCCCTTCAGTGTCCACCATATTGGATCAGTCCTTTTGCTGCACATGTTCAGAAAGGTCCAAACAGACAGCAGCAAACCATTTGAAAACAAACCATGCAAAGAGCAGTGTTGCCAACTTAGCGCTTTAGTCGCTATATTTAGCCACTTTTCAGACCCCTCTAGCACTTTGATTTCTAAAAAGCTCCTAGCGCCAAATCTAGAGACTTTTTTCTGCTACTGGAGACTTTGGAGACAACATCTAAAAGCAGCGAACTCTGCTCTCCAGAGCGAGTAGATTGGTAACCCCGCCTCCTGCTCTCCTCTATCTTGTCTGCTGTCATGATTCATGCAGCTATTATTTCATCCAAATGAAAAATGGAGAACAGATAAGCAGATCATGGCTTGTCTACAGTGAAAAGAAGGGCTGGGTTATTTACTTTGGCCTTTTTGGAAACACAGGAAGGAGCAATCAGCTAAGTGAGCTTAGTGCTTGGAAAAAATCTTTCATTCCTTTAGAGACAGCATGAAAAGTCAGCTGAGTACAAAACATAGAGAGGAAAACAAGAAGAAAAGGGACAAGAAGAGAGGGACACAACCTAGAACAGATAATGGATGTCTATTCTATTAACATTTATCTATCTGGAGAATGGGGCTGTTTATGTGTTCTCCATTCAGAGGGGCCCCCTGCCTGTCTTTGCCCAGGGCCCCAAATTTCCTACATCCATCCCCTGATCTCTAGTTACGTTTCAAAGAAGTGTACGATTAAGATCCAATCGTTGTAAATGTTTCTGATTTTTAACAATAATTAATTTAAAAACACAAGAGGATCATAAGCTGTGACTCAAACACAAACTCCTCGTGCTGCTCGGCCATATCTGACAGAGAGGAAAAATGTGGAGGACAGCAGCTTTTTTATGAATGTGTCTCATTAAAGGCTCCAGATGCAAAACAAAGAGACTTTTAGAGATCTTTTAATATTCAGATCCTGTTTTATTTGTTACATTTCATCTAGTAATAGTTTGCTGCACTAAGTAGTAGATTGAAGAATTGTGTGGAAGGCAGGACTGGGGAGACGACACACAAATCAGGTGAATTATAAAGATGCAGACAATTTAACAGTTTTTTTTTTTTTTTTTGGTCTGTGAAGATATTTTGGTTTAATGCACAGAATGCATGAATAAAACCAAAAGACAATTAAAAAATAGTTAAAGAAAACCTAAAGCCAAGTCTCCCCAGAGGACACCCTACAGACAGTCCAGCCTCTAAGTGTATTTCCACTAAGGAGGAAAAAAGTGAAAGTGAAAGGTGAAAAGATTCCCACATAAAGACGTCTGTCTGTCTATTGATGTCTTCATGTGAAAGTCGTGGGGTTGATCACATCTGTTCACCGGCGTTCTGTGTCTTTGTTTCAGCTCAACTTGGAAGAGACCTTTGACCTAAAGGAGTAAAAATCTAAAGCAAGTGAAGGTCAGCTTTAAGCTCTATTAACATCCACAGTCTTTATCTTTATCAGTCTTTCCCATCTTTAGTCCGAACTACCTTTGGATACTACTAGAAATACTAAGAAAGGGATTTACACATTTGAATTAGAATGTCTAAAATTATAGTCTGAGGCAGATCTTTTAGTTCTCTGGCTCCTCTCCTGTGGAACCAACTACCAGTTTTAGTCCGTGAGGCAGACACCCTGTCTACTTTTAAGGCTAGGCTTAAAACTTTCCTTTTTGATAAAGCTTCTAGTTAGAGTGGCTCAGGTTATCCTGATCTATCTCTATAGTTCTGCTGCTATAGGCTTAGACTGCTGGAGGACATAGGGACCCCTTTTTCATCATTCTGCTTCATTCCACTTACTCTCTAATCTTGCTTTATTTGCTCTAACTTGATGTTTTCTCTCTTTTCTCACCATAGCTCTGTTAAGCAGTTCAGCTGGGACACCATTATGGGGGGGAGGCGTCAGCTTTGAATGCTGCCATCAACACCTCCTTTTAGATATAATAGAGTTGGGAGTATTTTTAGTGCTTGGCCCTGTTTCTGTCAGGTTGAATGGAGGTTTTGGAGGATCCAAATGCAGAGAAGGAAGCTGAAGTTGTTTTTTGCAGTTTTAAGGCAGCTAAGGCAGAAATAATAATAAAAAAAAATGCATAAAACCCAAAACTAGAAGACATCAGGGAAAACACATTAGGATCAAGAAATAAAAAGGAATCAGCAATGAGGATGTGCAGAGGAAGAGTATTTATAGGAGACAGAACAAAGACTGGGCTAATGAGCTGACAAGCAACAGGTGTGGATGGAAGCATCTAGAAGGGAGCCAAGG